AGAGAGTAGAGAGAGTAGAGAGAGCAGAGAGAGAGTAGAGAGAGTAGAGAGAGCAGAGAGAGAGTAGAGAGAGAGTAGAGAAGAGAGAGCAGAGAGAGAGTAGAGAGAGTAGAGAGAGCAGAGAAGAGAGAGCAGAGAGAGAGTAGAGAGAGTAGAGAGAGCAGAGAGAGAGTAGAGAGAGCAGAGAAGAGAGAGCAGAGAGAGAGTAGAGAGAGAGCAGAGAAGAGAGAGCAGAGAGAGAGTAGAGAGAGTAGAGAGAGCAGAGAGAGAGTAGAGAGAGTAGAGAGAGCAGAGAAGAGAGAGCAGAGAGAGAGTAGAGAGAGTAGAGAGAGCAGAGAAGAGAGAGCAGAGAGAGAGTAGAGAGAGAGCAGAGAAGAGAGAGCAGAGAGTAGAGAGAGCAGAGAGAGAGAGCACAAAGAGAGAGACTAGAACAAGACCAGAGAGAGACCGGAGAGAGACAGACCAACCAGAGAGAAAGAGAGACCAGAGAGACCTTTCTATGCAGTGAGAAACTGAAGATCTAAAGTCTCCTTCAGGTTTGTAGATTAATGTTTGAAAAGTGTGTTACTATAAACAGCACAACTTTTGGCCCCAAACACATTTTTGACTCAAAGTCTATTCTGGCTCCGACACAGACTCCAGTTATTACCAGAGATTATATTAGAGAGGATTGTGTGTGACATCACCACAGCCTGAATGCACAAGAGGCTGATTTCAACATAAGCTAGCTGGAGCCAATTTCCTTATATGGGCATTTGTGCTGCTGAGTTAGCTTTAACCTGGTTCAGGCCTGGTTTGGACCTGGTTCAGAGACCAGAGGGAGACCAGAGAGAGATCAGAGAGAGCCAGGAGAGACCAGAGAGAGACCAGAGAGAGACCAGAGAGAGAAACCAGAGAGAGAGATACCAGAGAGACCAGGGAGATAGACCAGAGGGAGACCAGAGGGAGACCAGAGAGACCGACCGGAGAGAGACTAGCGGGACTAACCAGAGAGAGACCAGAAAGAGTAAGGAGAGAGACCAGAGAGTGCAAGGAGAGAGAGACCAGAGAGAGAGACCGGAGAGTGCAAGGAGAGAGAGAGAAAGGAAAGAGACCAGAGAGTACAAGGAGAGACCAGAGAGAGCAAGGAGAGAGACCAGAGGGTGCAAGGAGAGACCAGAAAGAGAAAGGAGAGAGACCAGAGAGAGACAGCAAGGAGAGAGCAGAGAGAGAGACCAGAGGGTAAAAGGAGAGAGACTAGAGAGAGAAATTATTCAAATTGAGGTTTTACAAGGTTTTCTTATCGAACACAAGCTGGAGTTTCCTCCACGAATACAACAAGTTGGAGCAAAACTTCACCATGAGCACTTCCCTATCGCGCTTCATTGAGCTAGCGTGTTAGCATGGTCCGTTCACAGTGCACACAGTCCGTTATCACGACCACTGGAAGCAAAAGTGCCAGATTGAAAGCAGTATGTTTAGCATGATTTGAAAACATGTTAAAGGGCTTTGTTGTATGTAACAATGGGACGATTGAAGTAACCATGACGATATGCATGGTACGGTGGAAATGTGAGGGAGGCTAATTTTCTATCCTTATATGGGCATTTGTTCTGATGGCGTTAGCTTAGCACCGCAACAGGGGCAGATGTAATGCTCAGAGGGTTGCTAAGCTAAGCCGGAGTTTCCCCTGTGAATGAAGGCCTCTGATTGGTTGATCCTTTTATGACTCTCTCCCACGACGTTATTCCTCTCTCCTACAGCGTCCGTTACAGTTATTTTCAAATTGCCAATTATGCAAATTAGGCGATGACGTCATTTAGCGACTTCTAGCGACTTTTGGGACAGCCAATAGCTACTTTCCTTACTGAGGAGTTGGCAACACTATCTAGATCTACAGAGACAGTATCACATAAACAGGAGGATCTCAGAGAGCGAGACAACACTTAAGCCCAAAATGTTGATGTCACACAAGGGTTACTGAGATAGAGGAGCTTATTTTTTTTACATGTAAGTCAACAGGAGCCAGAGAGAGAAACCAAACTTCACCATGAGCACTTCCCTATTGGGCTTCATTGAGCTAGCCGGTTAGCATTGTCCATCTGTAAACAGTCTGTGGTTTTGTCTCACACAGATTGATGTGAAATATTCAAATGACAGCATGATGTTCTGGGACAGTTTTATACATGTGCTTTTGTTTCCAGAGTTAGACTGTAACGCAGCTCACTGGTTTCTCAAAAATAACTTTAAAACAGCTTCAGTTTATTCAAAACACTGCAGAGTCCAGACTAGAACCAGAAAGTACCATCACATTAGTCCTGGTCTCAGGTCTCTCCTTCTGTGGCTCAGAGAAAAGACTTTAAAGCTGCTCTGTTTGTTACAAGTCTCTCCATGGGACTTTGAGGAGCACAGGGACTGGCCTCCTGCTGGGACTTTGAGGAGCACAGGGACTGGCCTCCTGCTGGGACTCTGAGGAGCACAGGGACTGGCCTCCTGTAGGGACTCTGAGTAGCACAGGGACTGGACTCCTGCTGGGACTCTGAGGAGCACAGGGACTGGACTCCTGCTGGGACTCTGAGGAGCACAGGGACTGGACTCCTGCTGGGACTCTGAGCACAGGGACTGGCCTAGTGCTGGGACTCTGAGGAGCACAGGGACTGGACTCCTGCTGGGACTCTGAGCACAGGGACTGGCCTAGTGCTGGGACTCTGAGGAGCACAGGGACTGGACTCCTGCTGGGACTCTGAGGAGCACAGGGACTGGCCTAGTGCTGGGACTCTGAGGAGCACAGGGACTGGACTCCTGCTGGGACTCTGAGGAGCACATGGACTGGCCTCCTGCTGGGACTCTGAGCACAGGGACTGGCCTAGTGCTGGGACTCTGAGTAGCACAGGGACTGGACTCCTGCTGGGACTCTGAGGAGCACAGGGACTGGCCTCCTGCTGGGACTCTGAGGAGCACAGGGACTGGCCTCCTGCTGGGACTGAGGAGCACAGGGACTGGCCTCCTGCTGGGACTCTGAGGAGCACAGGGACTGGCCTCCTGCTGGGACTCTGAGGAGCACAGGGACTGGCCTAGTGCTGGGACTCTGAGTAGCACAGGGGACTCCTGCTGGGACTCTGAGGAGCACAGGGACTGGCCTCCTGCTGGGACTCTGAGGAGCACAGGGACAGCCTCCTGCTGGGACTCTGAGGAGCACAGGGACTGGCCCTGCTGGGACTGAGGAGCACAGGGACTGGCCTCCTGCTGGGACTCTGAGGAGCACAGGGACTGGCCTCCTGCTGGGACTCTGAGGAGCACAGGAGACCTCCTGCTGGGACTCTGAGGAGCACAGGGACTGGCCTCCTGCTGGGACTCTGAGGAGCACAGGGACTGGCCTCCTGCTGGGACTCTGAGGAGCACAGGGACTGGCCTCCTGCTGGGACTCTGAGGAGCACAGGGACTGGCCTCCTGCTGGGACTCTGAGGAGCACAGGGACTGGCCTCCTGCTGGGACAGAGGAGCACAGGGACTGGCCTAGTGCTGGGACTCTGAGGAGCACAGGGACTGGAGGAGCACTGGCCTCCTCTGGCCTAGTGCTGGGACTCTGAGGAGCACAGGGACTGGCCTCCTGCTGGGACTCTGAGGAGCACAGGGACTGGCCTCCTGCGGGACTCTGAGGAGCACAGGGACTGGCCTCCTGCTGGGACTGAGGAGCACAGGGAGTGCTGGGACTCTGAGGAGCACAGGGACTGGCCTCCTGCTGGGACTCTGAGGAGCACAGGGACTGGCCTCCTGCTGGGACTCTGAGGAGCACAGGGACTGGCCTCCTGCTGGGACTCTGAAGAGCACAGGGACTGGCCTCCTGCTGGGACTCTGAGGAGCACAGGGACTGGCCTCCTGCTGGGACTCTGAAGAGCACAGGGACTGGCCTCCTGCTGGGACTTGAGGAGCACAGGGACTGGCCTAGTGCTGGGACTCTGAGGAGCACAGGGACTGGCCTCCTGCTGGGACTCTGAGGAGCACAGGGACTGGCCTCCTGCTGGGACTCTGAGGAGCACAGGGACTGGCCTCCTGCTGGGACTCTGAGGAGCACAGGGACTGGCCTCCTGCTGGGACTCTGAGGAGCACAGGGACTGGCCTCCTGCTGGGACTCTGAGGAGCACAGGGACTGGCCTCCTGCTGGGACTCTGAGGAGCACAGGGACTGGCCTCCTGCTGGGACTCTGAGGAGCACAGGGACTGGCCTGTGTGATTGTTTCTGTCTTGTTTACTTCAGCACTTTTCACTGGGGGCGGTTCAGCTCAGAGGCAGCGTCGAGTCGAGACGATCGAATTCAATTATAGATTAGTCACTTGCCAAATTGTGTGACCTATTTACACCAACACTCCACCAAAACAAAACCAGAGAGAGACCAGAGAGACATACCAGAGAGAGACCAGAGAGAGATCAAAGACAGACCAGAGAGCGAGAAACCAGGGAGAGACACAAAAGAGAGACCAGAAAGAGACAAGAGAGAGACATACCAGAGAGAGGCCAGAAAAAGAGAGAGACCAGAAAAAGACATACCAGAGACATACCAGAGAGAGACCAGAGAGAGACCGGAGAGAGATCAAAGAGAGCCCAGAGAGCGAGAAACCAGGGAGAGACACAAAAGAGAGACCAGAAAGAGAGATCAAAGAGAGACCAGAGAGAGACCAGAAAAAGAGGGAGACCAGAGAGAGACCAGAAAAAGACATACCAGAGAGAGACCAGAGAGAGATCAAAGAGAGACCAGAGCAAGAGACCAGGGAGAGACACAAAAGAGAGATCAGAGAAAGACAAGAGAGAGACATACCAGAGAGAGACCAGAAAAAGAGAGAGACCAGAGAGAGACCAGAGAGAGACAAGAGAGAGACCAGAGAGCGAGAAACCAGGGAGAGACACAAAAGAGAGACCAGAAAGAGAGATCAAAGAGAGATCAGAGAGAGAGACCCGAGAGAGACCAGAGAGAGACCAGAGAGAGACCAGAGACAGACCATAGAGCACTAGTCTTTCCACTCACCGAGTAGAGACCCCAGCAGAATCAGGACCTGTACGGCGGTGGTGAAGTCCCGGTAGGCTCTCACGGACGCGGCGAACTCCGGTGCTCCCATCGCCGCGTCTCCCGTCACCGTAACCGGACTCACGCTCGCCAGGCTGTCCGCTCGGGTAGTCGAATAACCGCCCGACGCATTAGTCGCCAGTCCCAGCCACAGATGCTGCTGAGCGGATGTCCAGTTGGCTTCTCGGCTCCCGCGGTCCATGACGTTCACCTTTTGAAATCACGCGTAACGAGCGATCAGCGGCATTTTTGTTGTTGTTTTAGGATCACGGCGCGAGGTTGGGTGTTACGCGGGGAGACTGGCGTGGCGCTGGGGGTGTGCAGGAGGGTGAACCGGGGTGACACGGAGATGGAGGAGACAGAGGAGGCAGAAAATGGTGAAGGATTGGAAAGAACGCAAGCGGGTCCATTGCGTTTGGAGAATCAGCAGAAAGAGGAGATAGGACCGGGGCTGCTACTGCTGCTGCTGAGGAGGATGAGGATGATGAGGCTGAAGGTGGAAGGCTTCAAACGGGTGGATTCAGTCCATCATCCACAGCGTGAGGTGCAGGGGAGAGGGAGGGGGAGTGGAGAGAGAGCCCCTCCTCCGGTTTCGGATTCAGTAACACGAATGTCTCGCTCTGGTCTCTCACTGGTCTCTTTCTCTCTTGTCTCTGGACTCTTTCTCTAGTCTTACTCTGGTCTCTCTCGCTCTCTCTGGTCTCACATTGGTCTCACTCTTTGGTCTCTCTCTGGCCTCTCACTGGTCTCTAAAGTCTTTCTCTCTCTGAGCTCTCTTTCTCTCACTGACTCACTCTCTGGTCTCTCTTTTTCGTCCCTCACTGGTCTCTCTAGGACTCTGTCGTTATTTAGTCTCTCTCTGGTCTCGCTCCTGTCTCTCTGTGGTCTAACTCTCGTCTATTGCTTTTCTCTGGCCTCTCTCTCTCTCTTTGGTCTCTCTCTCTCTCTCTGGTCTCTCTCTCTGGCCTCTCTCTCTCTCTGGCCTCTCTCTCTCTCTCTGGTCTGACTCTGGCCTCTCACTGGTCTCTCTCTGGTCTCTCTCTGGTCTCTCTCTGGTCTCTCTCTGGTCTCTCTCTGGTCTCTCTCTGGCCTCTCTCTGGCCTCTCTCTGGTCTCTCTCTGGTCTCTCTCTGGTCTCTCTCTGGTCTGACCCCTGGCCTCTCTCTGGTCTCTCTCTGGTCTCTCTCTGGTCTGACTCTGGCCTCTCTCTGGTCTCTCTCTGGTCTCTCTCTGGTCTGACTCTGGCCTCTCACTGGTCTCTCTCCTTGGAGGGAGTGGTGAGGAGGTAGAATGGAGAGAGAGCCCCTCCTCCAGGGTTGGATTCAGTACCATGGGTTCCCGGTGGAGCCAGGCTCTGGACTGACCTCTCCCTGATAAGACTCGCACCATCAGAACCTTATTTTAAAATCACTTCTTAAAACACACTTTATTGATCGGTTTTGGACTGGCTGTTGATAACTTCACATGTAATAATGTCTTATCATTATTAATGTTCCACATGGTCTTTGATTTGTCTCTCACTGGTCTCTCGCTCATTGGTCTCTCACTTTGGACTCTCTATTTCTGGTGTTCTGCTGTTCTCTCTGGTCCTTCTCTCTGGTTTCTCTCTCTGGTCTCTCTCTGGTCTCTCTCTGGTCTCTCTCTGGTCTCTCTCTGGTCTCTCTCTGGTCCCTCTCTCTGGTCTCTCTCTCTGGTCTCTCTCTGGTCTCTTTCTCTGGTCTCTCTCTGGTCTTTCTCTGGTCTCTCTCTGGTCCCTCTGGTCTGAGTTTGGACAGTCTTCTCGTGGTAAGTAATCAGAGTACTGCAGACCATTTTAAATATACCGTATTTGTAAAATGGTGTCTAACGTGCCGTGGTGGCCTTACTAAGCTCTTTGCACCAGGACCAGACCAAGACGAGACCAGGATCAGACCAGGACCAGACTCTGAATCAGTTTGCGGATCCTGAGGTGCTTGATAAATCTAAGGCTTTATTCCAACAATGAGACGAAAACCAGGGTAAACCAGGATTATTTCCGTCCACTGCCTCCATTCAAACATTCAGAGGATAAGAACTCACCTCTTCCTAATGAGCTCAAAGTTGTTGAAAAGGATTTGGGGCGTCCAGAGACTGAAAGTTCACCTCAGCAGACGTCTCAAAGGACTGTACAAAGTTGTGGATTCACCAACAACAGATCAGAGAATCAAACAGTTCAAACACAGAAAATACAATAAAAACAAACACATGGGAGACATTGGTCCAAAGGGAGAGGGACTGAGGCTGTAGACCCAGGACTGAGGCTGTAGACCCAGGACTGAGGCTGTCGATCCAGGACTGAGGCTGTAGACCCAGGACTGAGGCTGTAGACCCAGGACTGAAGCTGTCAATCCAGGACTGAGGCTGTTGATCCAGGACTGAGGCTGTAGATCCAGGACTGAGGCTGTAGACCCAGACCTGAGGCTGTAGACCCAGGACTGAGGCTGTAGACCCAGACCTGAGGCTGTAGACCCAGGACTGAGGCTGTAGACCCAGGACTCAGGCTGTGGACCCAGGACTGAGGCTGCAGACCCAGGACTGAGGCTGCAGACCCAGGACTGAGGCTGTAGATCCAGACCTGCGGCTGTAAATCCAGGACTGAGGCTGTAGACCCAGGATGCACAGCTGAAATAGAAATGTGATATTTGTGTCTTTTCTGTGGTCTTCGGCCCCTGGTTGGGTCTTGGGTCTTGGATCACGGGTCTTGGGTCTCTGGTCAGGCCTGGATCCCGGTCCTCCTGTTGTTCCTTCACACTCTCCTGTGAAATTCCCCTTGAGGCAGACAGAGGATCCGAGCACATGCCACGCTCACACAACACATTTGACATCACTGTTGCCAAAACACGACACGGAAAGAACCTGAAATAACACAGCAACGATTCTCAAACTGTGGTGTGCACACGGCCGACGGCACATGGTAACACAGGAGAGAAATGATCCATGTTCGAGAGGGTCTCAAACTCTATCTGTGGGCGACATTAATGGAGAGATTGTGTGTGAAATGTAGAATTGAGCCACTAAATTAAACTAATCTTTTCACACACAAATAACTTTCACACGGTGCCATATTTTTTTTCTTTCACAATAAAAGCAGAGAAAGTAAAGGTTGGTGCTTGTAGAACAGAGAGAAAATCATGTCCACTCCACTTGTCTTGAACTGTATTAAAAACCGACAACTGATGGTTTGGACTATAGACACTTCAGTCCTGGGTCTACAGCCTCAGTCCTGGGTCTACAGCCTCGGTCCTGGGTCTACAGCTTCGGTCCTGGGTCTACAGCCTCGGTCTGTTCCATTGGCCCCTCCCACCACCACCAACCATTCACACACACACACACACCAGACTCATTCTAATGTGGGTGAAGTGACTTTATTGATCTCTGATGGATAAATGTCCACGTCACATCTGACATGAACAGAATCAAATTTGTGCAAAAGACAGAAATGTGCAACATGTTAAATACAGAATATATTATGTACAATAAAAATAAACAGTGTCAATAGTAGTGCAGGATTTTAGTCCTAGTGCAAGTGACTTATTGTACAGTCTGACAGCGGTGGGGATAAAGGCCCTGTGGTAGCGCTCCTTCTTCCACTGAAGGAGCTCCTCAGCTCCTCCTCAGTCCTGTGCAGTGGGAGGTGTTGTTCATGATGGAGGTGACTTTGACTAGCACCTCCTGTCCCTCACCTCCTCCACAGAGTCCAGGGGCCTCCTGTCCCTCACCTCCTCCACAGAGTCCAGGGGCCTCCTGTCCCTCACCTCCTCCACAGAGTTCAGGGGCCTCCTGTCCCGCTCTGTGCTGCCCAGGGCCCAGCACACGGTGTATGGCAGAGGCTACCACAGACACTTTTGTTTTAGACCCCTTTGAACGATCAGTGACATATTTTAAGCACCGTTTTGCCACTATATAAATCTGGGGCAAGTGACTTTAGAAACACTACAAATGTGTGTAAGGCAGGTTTATTTGTGTGAGAGAGAGACCAGAGAAACAATCATACCAGCCATTCAAATCATAAATAATCACAGTACATTAAAAAGAATGAAGATTACTTTCCTGTACACAGTACAGAAAGGACAGTGCATTTTCTAATATAAGCCGATACAACTCTATAAGGTCAAAGTGTTAAAGTATAAAACACACAAACACATCACATTATCAAGGTTAGTGATCCTGACCAGTCCTGTTTAGATTTTTCTCTCTCTCTCCATCTCTCTCTGGTCCCTCTCTCTTCATCAGTCGTGAGGGTTTTACAGCCCTAAAACAGCTGCCACTCAATAGAATTTACCTTATTGCAGGTTATCTTTAGAACACATCACCTCTGTCATAAACGAGGGACCACTGTCCTCAAACATACAAGAATATATCAGAAGGACAATGCTAACCTGCTAACCCAATCCTATTGACTTACATGTAAAAGTAAGAATGGGCCAAATACTGTAATACTATCAAATAATCACCATTTTTGCCGCCTCCCGCCTCTGATCAAGGCCCGGTGTATCTGTGGCCTCTTAACTGGCCTCGTCCTTTGTTAGTCTATGATAGTAAATCACACTCAGGGCCGAGGAGCAGAAAGGCTTCATTCATCCACTGCTTCTCGATGAGTGCTCTCGTCTCCAAGTGCCTTCTGAAGAATCTCTGGACACGCTCCCACTGATCCAGCTGGTTCTCTGCGTGTGCTTTTGGCTCTCCTCCCAACGCCACAGAGAGACAAGAGAGAGAGAGAGTAGGGAGAGAGCAGAGAGAGACCTGGGAGAGACGAGAGAGACGAGAGAGGGAGCAGAGAGACATCAGAGAGAGAGAACAGAGTGAGAGACCAGAGAGAGAACAGAGTGAGAGACCAGAGAGAGAGCAGAGAGAGACCAGAGAGCAGAGAGAGCAGGGAGACATCAGAGAGAGAGCAGAGTGAGAGCAGAGTGAGAGCAGAGTGAGAGCAGAGAGAGAGCAGAGAGACATCAGAGAGAGAGCAGAGTGAGAGCAGAGTGAGAGCAGAGAGAGAGCAGGGAAAGAGCAGGGAGAGAGCAGAGAGAGACCAGAGAGAGCAGGGAGAGAGCAGGGAGAGAGCAGGGAGAGAAAGAGATCATAGAGAGAGATCTCCCAAGTGCCTTTTGAAGAATCTCTGGACTCGCTCCCACAGATGCAGCTGGTCCTGTGCGTGTGCTCTCGCTTCTCCTCCGAACGCCACCGCTCTCCCCACCACGGCGTGCACTGCGGACGGACAGAAGGGCATGTGCGGCGCCTCCAGGAAGTGTCCCGATTTGGAATAAACCGCCAGAGAACACGTGTCTTTGCCGTGGCTTTTCAAAATGGCCGCCGCTTGTCTGGCGTAGAGGGCACTTTCCCAGTTATGGTCGTCCTCTGAGGCCGCTAACAGGAAGTGGGAGGTGGCTCGTTGGATGGGGATGAGGGAGGAGGGGTGGAGCAAGGGATCGGGCATAGCGTGGCGGCCGTTCAAGAGGCCGGAATCGGGGAGGACGCTGACGTTCTCCAGGACAGGTTGAAGCGGAGGAAGGACCAGGTCTCTGTAGCGCAGGGGGATCACCGTGTTGGCGTTGCAGCCGTTGACGCAGACGGTGGCGGCGATGTGGTCGAGGAAGGACGCCATGGAGAGGGCCAGGCCGCCGCTGTGAGAGATGGAGATGACCCCGACACCAGAGCCAGCGACCTGAGGGAACAACAGCAGAAAGTTTCACTGTCGGGGTGAACAATTCAGTTTTTTTGCCGTTTGCAGTAAAACCACAGTGGAATACACGTGCGAGAGCCCCCAGTGTTTAGAATAGAAGCACCAAAATAGAACAAGCTAAAAATGTACAAGAAACTATTGTCGCTGTGAAACCAATCAATAATAACAGTTTCAATACAAAATCATTAAAGTGCTTTGTTCAGACAAATGTTAGCATTCCCAGATGTCCTGCAGCCAACGATATCTTCTGCCAGAGGGAAGAAGCTGGAACATGGCTTTTCCAGGGGCCAGAAGAGTTATTGATTAGTCTAAGGTCTGGATTAAAGAATCTGGATTCAAAACGAACCACCAGAACAGACAAATCACAGTCGTCTGTCAGAGCGAAGCACCTCTCCGGCCCCTCTCTGTTTGCTCTCTGTTTGCTCTCTGTTTGCTCTCTGTTTGCTCTCTGTTTGCTCTCTGTTTGCTCTCTGGGTGCAGAGACCAGAGAGAGACCAGAGAGAGACCACAGAGAGACCAGAGAGAGAGAGACCAGAGAGAGACCAGAGAGAGAGCAGAGAGAGACCAGAAAGAGACCAGAGAAATAAAGTAACACACATAAGTGTTTGTAATCTAAATATTAGATACTCCAGCTTTCATGCAATTCGCAGTATTATTCTAAAAACTTTGAAAGGTTAGTGGAATGGACGAACCTGAGGCTGACTGCGCAGATACGTCACGCCCTCTTCAAAGTACTCCAAGTCCAAGTACTCAGGATTCTTGGGTAAATCCTCGTAGCCTTTATAGGCCAGAGCCAGAACAACAAATCCTTTACAGGCCAACAGACTGGCCCTGGGTTCACTCAGTCCTCCCCCGAAAGTGTACAAGTCCACGATCCCCGGGAAAGGGCCTGGTCCTGCAGCGATCAGAGAGATTTATGAGAATATTGTTTATTACGACTCAAACCGACATAGCTACAGATCAGAGAACACAAGTGCAATGTCCACAATGTGACAACAGGCAAAGAATTCTGTCTCCAGCCACTTCAATTATGGTAAAAAACAAAACAAAAACAAAACATAACCGATTGTGTGTACTATAGACACTTCAGTCTTGGATCTACAGCCTGAGTCCTGGATCTATAGCCTCAGTCCTGGGTCTACAGCCTCAGTCCTGGGTCTACAGCCTCAGTCCTGGGTCTACAGCCTCAGTCCTGGGTCCACAGCCTCAGTCCTGGATCCACAGCCTCAGTCCTGGATCCACAGCCTCAGTCCTGGATCCACAGTCTCAGTCCTGGATCCACAGTCTCAGTCCTGGATCCACAGTCTCAGTCCTGGATCCACAGTCTCAGTCCTGGATCTACAGCCTGTCTATACGTAATTTCAGCTCTAAACAAAATGAACCATAAGTGGATATAGACAGATCTTGTGCGTACCAGGTGGGACAAACAGCACTCCCCTCAGTCGCCCCTCCCTCACTGGGATCCTCCTCATTCCCTCGGGCATGAACTCTCGCTGGTTGACCTCGGTGGCCAGCACGGTCTCCCCGCTCAGCGCTGAGATCTGCACCTGCATTGGGGTCAGGGCACTCTTCTTCAGCAGCTTGTTGTGAGGCGTCTCTGGTAACATGGACCAGAACAGTCCCATTGGCTCCACTCCTGTGTAGCTACCTCCCAGAGAGGGATCCCGAGACGCGTCCACATGTCCCCCATGGTCTGCTTGGTACTGGGCCTCGGCTCTGAACACTACACCTCTGTCGTCCAGTACTTTGGAGCGGAGGACGACGGGTGCGTGAGGAGAGAGACCCTCCACCTTCACCTGCACTGGTTTGTCGAATAAGCAGCGGACACTGGGGAGGATCCTCAGCCGAACCTGGGACGAAGCCATCGGCGTCTGGTGTTTCCAAGGTCCTGGTTTGGAAAAAAGATACAAGAATTATGAACCAAATGTAATTCCAATGGAGGAACACACCCATTAAAACTGAGAGCAGATAGATTCCTCAGGAAGTTTGAAATATTAATGTTAAATGTTGTCAAATGTTAAATTTGTACATCTATTATATTTTCAAGATAGAGATTTTATACTTATTATTGATGCTAGAGTTAGATTGTTTTTATTTTGATTAGTATAGCTATTGTTCACTCAGGGGACAAAGAGGAGCAGAGGATTCAGTTCGAGCTCCAGTGGAGGATCAGGAGGGCCAAGAAGGAATACGGGGAAAAGCTGGAGCAGAAGCTGGCCCAGGGAAACGCCCGCGACGTGTGGAGAGGCCTAAAGAACATCTCTGGCTTTGGACAGAGTGCCAGAGGAACAGCGGGTGGAGACCAGCACCGGGCGGATGAATTTAACCAATATTTCAACCGGTTTGATTCTCCCCCCTCTCCATCTGCCCCCACCTCTCTGAGGTCCTCAGCTACATGTACAACCTGAGCCTCAGCCTGGAGAAGGTCCTGTGGACAGTAGTGATGGGTCCAGTAACACTGATACACCGGCGCATGTGCCGAGTTCGTTTGGCGAAACCTCGTATCGGCGCGCGTGTCGCTTTATGAAAAAGCCACGTGACCGATACAGCCGCAGTGTCGCTTGTCACCGACACGGCAAACTGTGTTTAAAAGGTTCCGCATCTGCAAGTGTCACCGGTATGAACCGCTCTCAGAAAAAGAAATTAACCCTTTCAAAAAGGAAAAACATCCCATTTTACAGCATCAAAATGGAACCTGCCACTAAAAGAAAGTATTCTGCAGTGTGATACTGCAAATAACAGCAAATAAGGCAATTTTTTTGCTCTAGAAAAAAGAAATCGCAGCAAAAACAATATCACATCACTCAATTCAAATGGTAAAATAACCACTGACCCTAAAGAAATTTCTAACACTATCTTTTCCTTTTACAACCAGATTTACCAATCAACAAACCAAAACAAAATAAGTGAAGAGTTCCTGGACTCCATTCAAAACATTATTCCCTCAATTTCTGAGCAATTCAAGCAAAACTGTGACGAAAACATTACAACTAAAGAAATGAAGGAAGCCTTGAAAAACATGCATACTGGTCGCTCACCTGGAAACGATGGTATTACAACCGAATTTTATATTCATTTTTGGGACCTTATTGAAAGTCATTTGTTTAAGCTTTATCAACAATGCATACTGCAAGAGGAGATGTCCGCCAGTATGACACAAGGCTCGATAAGTCTCATCCCCAAACCTGGAAAAGACACACTCTTAATAGAAAACTGGCGCCCTGTCACTTTATTAAACACAGATTACAAAATACTTGCTCAAATCTTTGACAAACGGTTAAAGAAAGGATTACCCGAGATCATTAATGAAACTCAAACCGGATTTATGGCAAATAGACATATAAGTTCCAATATAAGACTAGTTTTAGATATGATTGATTACTCTGATCTCATAGAGACAGAAGCACTTATTATGTTTCTTGACTTTTATAAAGCCTTCGATACTGTTGAACATTTCTTCTTATTTAAAACGCTTGAACTTTTTGGTTTCGGTCCCAAATTTATTAAAAATGTCAAAATGCTCTACAAAAATATTAACAGCAGCATAATTCTTTATCCGAACACTACGCCGAGATTTGCAATACACAGATCGGTCCGACAGGGCTGTCCCATTGCACCCTTTCTTTTTTTAACAGTGGTTGAAGTACTCTCATTGTATATTCGAAACAGTTCAGTCATCAACGGGATCACTATAGCCAGTAAAGAAATAAGAATTACTCAATTAGCTGATGACACTGCTCTTTTTTTAAGAGACAAACACCAAGTCGCCCCTGCAATTTCTTTAATCGACAACTTTTCTGCTGCATCTGGTCTTGAACTAAACAAGCATAAATGTGAGATATTACCTCTGTATAGTTTACAGGATCACCATATTTGCAACATCTCTGTGAAAAACAATACAAAATATCTTGGAATCCACATATGCAAAAATAACCACGAACGCCAACAACAAAATTTTGCACACCGGATCAAGAAAACTACCACCATTTTTAACATGTGGCTACAAAGAGACATTTCCATCTTTGGCCGAGCCTTGCTGTCCAAAACGGAAGGCATCGCAAGACTTGTCTACCCTGCCCTCTCTCTCTACGTAAACAACAGTACTGCAAAGGACATCAATAAATCAATCACCAACTTTATTTGGAAAAACAAGAAACATTATCTTAAAACCAATATTCTCACAGGTTCAAAAGGAGAAGGGGGGATCGAAATGCTGGATTTCATCGATATGAATTACACATTTAAAATCAAATGGATTTAAGAGGCATTAAAAAACCTGAACTCAATATGGTACCTCATCTCCAACCTAGTATTTAATAAAATAGGCGGTCTTCATTTTATCTTAAAATGCAATTACAATATCAACAAACTTCCAATAAAACTCTCTAATTTTCATCAACAAGCCCTTACAGCGTGGAAGCTCTGTCACATCCACAACTTCTCCCCACACACCTGCATTATCTGGAATAATGAATACATATTAAAGCGCAAGAAATCAATCTTTGAATCATCATGGATCGACAAAGGTATAATTACAGTTTCCAATTTAATCGATATTCATGGCAATATTTTAAGTTATGATAACTTTCTTTCTAAGTTCCAGTTTCCCATCAGGTACAAACAGTACAAAGCTGTTACAAAATGCATTCCCGATGGACTATTACACTTAATGAGAGCTTCACAACTCACTCCAACCATAATGACCACAAAGCTTTTTCTCAATGGACTGGACATCACTAATCACAAATGCAACAATAAACATATTCGACAAATATTTCAAAATATGAAAAGCATTCAACCCAGAGGGAAATTTTTTTGGAACTCCACCTTTGATAATATAAACTGGCATAAAACATGGCTGTTACCCTACCAATTCCCCATTAATAATAAAATATGTGAAACTCATCTCAAAATCCTACACAATATCTACCCCACAAACTCCGAAGTCTCAAAATTCATGAACATAGATCCAAATTGCTCCTTTTGCAATACAGTTCCAGAACTTATTCAACACTTATTCTACTCATGCCCACTCATCACGCTTTTCTGGAAAGAGATCAGTCAATACCTCTCCCAAAGACTAAATATCTCCATAACTATCTGTGACAGAAACATTATCACCCACTTTTCTCACCAAAACAATAAAATCGAAAGAATCACCAACATATTCATTTTATTTGGCAAACAGCACATACATAGATGCAAATACAGTAAAACCAATCCATCCTCCCAAGCAGTCACTCTCGAAATCAAGAGCTACATTAAGTCTATAACCCTAATAAACAGCAAAAAAACCAACTCCACAGTCAAATTATTAGAACCCATAACACATAAACTCTAGATGATCCCTTTAGCGCCCTTTCTTTCAATCTAACCTCTCTATAAAGTCCTTTAATTTTATATAATACCTCACTTCCTTTCACTTTATCATGAATGTCATCCATTTCTGTATATATTGTAAATATCTTTGTTTCTGTTTTTGTCATGTAATGTATATACGAATAAAAAAAAAAAAGTTGCAATGATTTATCAGATCCACCAGGCGTCAGTATAGAGCAGCACAAGCAACACTGTTGCGGCACAGTTCGTTGGATGTGCCGAAACGATACGTGAGGTTTCATTTACCCATCACTAGTGGACAGTGATGGGCAGTAGCGTCGCTACTAGCTTAACTACATTTTTCAGTAGCTTGACAGTAGCGTCACTATTTACAAAACCTAGTAACTTTTCTGTAGCTAAGCTATATTATTGCTCAAGTAGCGCGGTAGCGTCCGCCAAAGCTATTTTCTCACGGACATCTCTGATGTTCATATATTACAGCATTTTCCCGCAGCATAAAACAAACAAAAGACAGAATGCTGATGCGCATGCGCAGGGCTTGGTAACGACACACACACACGAACGTACGCGCACACACATGCGCGCGCGCTACTGGGGGAAGCAAAAGCATGGCAGAGAGCCCAGGAGCCGCCGCGATGGAGGAGGACCATGATAAGGACTCTGATAAGTGTTGTACCGTGGCCATACCTCCAAAAGTACGTCACTCTAGTCGAGATGAGCGAAAAGAAATATGTTTTCAGATGCCTACTCTTTGTTGTTTTTGGTGTTTTGGGCTATTGTTCAATAAATATCTACAACATTGTAACCTTTATCTGACTGACAGTTTATCTCAAATAAGAAGATAAGCTTTATTAATCTCACACAGGAGAAATTTACATGTCACATTTGGCATGGATAAAACACTCAAGAATTGTGCAAAAAATAAGGAATGAGCAAACATGTTAATGCAGGAAAATATAAAATTGCATGAACTGCAGTTTGTTTAATTGAAAATAGCTTCTATATAGCAAGCTACTTTTGACAGAATTTTGTAACTTAGCTTGCTACATTTGTATGGGTGGTAGCTTCTGTGTAGTGAAGCTGAGGGACAGGAGGTGCTAGTCAAAGTCACCTCCATCATGGAAAACACCTCCCACTGCACAGGACGGAGGAGGAGCTGAGGAGCTCCTTCAGTGGAAGACTGAGACACCCTCAGTTTAAGAAGGAGTCTTAAACTGAGTCTACCACAGGGCCTTTATCCCCACCGCTGTCAGACTGTACAATAAGTCACTTTAAGTCACTTGCACTAGGACTAAAAACCTGCACTACTATTGACACTATTTCTGATTGCCACTTTTTTATTGCACATAATGTATCCGGCATTTAACATTTAATGTTGCACATTTCCTCCTTTTTGCACAATCTTGAGTGTTTCTATCCATGCCAAATGTGACATGTACATTTCTCCTTTGTGAGATAAATAAAGCATAATCTTATCTTATCTTACTTAACGTGTGTCATGTGCCCCTCTTTCCTACTGTTCTATAACCTGTGATGCAACACCGAAATTTCCCCACTGTGGGACAAATAAAGGATCTCTTAATCTTAATCACATAACATAACAGATATTATGTTGGATCCTCAGTCCTGGGTCTACAGCCTCAGTCTTGGATCTACAGCCTCAGTCTTGGATCTACAGCCTCAGTCTTGGATCTACAGCCTCAGTCTTGGATCTACAGCCTCAGTCTTGGATCTACAGCCTCAGTCTTGGATCTACAGCCTCAGTCCTGGATCTACAGCCTCAGTCTTGGATCTACAGCCTCAGTCTTGGATCTACAGCCTCAGTCCTGGGTCTACAGCCTCAGTCTTGGAGCTACAGCCTCAGTCTTGGATCTACAGCCTCAGTCCTGGATCTACAGCCTCAGTCTTGGATCTACAGCCTCAGTCTTGGATCTACAGCCTCAGTCTTGGAGCTACAGCCTCAGTCTTGGATCTACAGCCTCAGTCTTGGATCTACAGCCTCAGTCTTGGATCTACAGCCTCAGTCTTGGATCTACAGCCTCAGTCTTGGATCTACAGCCTCAGTCCTGGATCTACAGCCTCAGTCTTGGATCTACAGCCTCAGTCTTGGATCTACAGCCTCAGTCTTGGAGCTACAGCCTCAGTCTTGGATCTACAGCCTCAGTCTTGGATCTACAGCCTCAGTCTTGGATCTACAGCCTCAGTCTTGGATCTACAGCCTCAGTCTTGGATCTACAGCCTCAGTCTTGGATCTACAGCCTCAGTCTTGGATCTACAGCCTCAGTCCTGGATCTACAGCCTCAGTCTTGGATCTACAGCCTCAGTCCTGGATCTACAGCCTCAGTCTTGGATCTACAGCCTCAGTCCTGGATCTACAGCCTCAGTCCTGGATCTACAGCCTCAGTCCTGGATCTACAGCCTCAGTCTTGGATCTACAGCCTCAGTCTTGGATCTACAGTCGCACTGTCAGCCACATTAAAATTACACTTTTACTTACTTACACTAACGGTACTTTTGGTGAAGACTGTGAGCAGAGTTTGTGAACTCTCACTGTAAGTTATCACCTTCAAAGATTAAATGAATGGAAACTTTCGGGACAATGCCAAACTATTAGTGTTTACAAACCTGCGCTGAGAGAATGGTCCAGTCCTGACCTGGTCCTGACTCACACCAGGTCCCAGCTCAGATCCGGGACAAAAGGGCGCATGTCACGTGGGTTTGTTTGGCTCCTTCCTGGACTCAGACCCCTTCCTTTACATAAGACATGTGTGTGAGCGCCGCCTAGTGGTTAGCAGGCTCTTGTAGCTCGTGCTTTTCGAAGACCTTAAGTGTTTGAAAAGAATAAAAGACACATTGATGAATATCACGCTCCAGATGAATAAGAAGATTCAAACTTAAAGGAACGTGTAACTATAAACACTGTAGAGGCAGCAGTTTGCCACCAGGTGTCACTGTTGTTGAAGTATTCAGAACAAAACAATGAATTCAATTATTTCGAAGTAAATCATATCAGAGAGTTGCTTCAGGCAGAGGACACACAGGATTAGTACCTCATTATCATCAGAGTGCCAGATAATAGTGTTTAGGCTGATTAAATCAGTGTATGAGCTTGAGCTTTAGTTAGATCTCATTCACTTCTGTGGTTTGAGAATCCAGCTTTATTAAGAACAATTTAAAGTGAAATGAATAAAGAAGACAAGACAATTATTGGTATAGCACAGTTCATACACAAGGCAACTCAAAGTGCTTAAAGACGACGTACAAGGAAACTTGTAAAATCACAATAGAGTGCGGATACAATCTTTCAGTCCAGCAAAACAGGTTCCTCCAAAAGTTTGAAATTTTAATTTTAATCACATCTCAAAGATTTTATTTTGGATCTTCAGTCCTGGATCCACAGCCTCAGTCCTGGATCTACAGCCTCAGTCCTGGGTCCACAGCCTCAGTCCTGGATCCACAGCCTCAGTCCTGGATCTACAGCCTCAGTCCTGGGTCCACAGCCTCAGTCCTGGATCTACAGCCTCAGTCCTGGGTCCACAGCCTCAGTCCTGGGTCCACAGCCTCAGTCCTGCATCTACAGCCTCAGTCCTGGGTTTACAGCCTCCGTCCTGGGTCCACAGCCTCAGTCCTGGGTCCACAGCCTCAGTCCTGGATCTACAGCCTCAGTCCTGGGTCTACAGCCTCAGTCCTGGGTCCACAGCCTCAGTCCTGCATCTACAGCCTCAGTCCTGGGTTTACAGCCTCCGTCCTGGGTCCACAGCCTCAGTCCTGGGTCCACAGCCTCAGTCTTGAGTCTACAGCCTCAGTCCTGGATCTACAGTCTCAGTTAAAACCCCCTAGTACGTCAACAATAGACCTATCCATAAAAAACAAACCGGTTTATTGTCACTTCCTCCTCTGCGGCTTTACGTCGTCGCCATGGAGACGACGTAAGCAGGAGCTGGTTCCCTTTTGGCCGTGTCCCTATTGCGCATGCGTATTGCGTACTGGGCTGTATCGGCTCATAAAGAAGCTTCACGTCAGACAGAGAGGACTGACGAGCGGGCTCCTCCTCGGGACAAAACACACACACTCACCGCTTTTCCCCACCGACATTTCGCTTCTCTGGGACTTTACAAACTACGACATTAATGCCTCCGAAGTGACGTTGGGCAGAGGAGGGCTTTTCACTGCTAACCTCCCCGTGGGTGAGTGGTTTCGTCCCCGTTAGCAAAGCGCCTCGGCAGCGGAGCAATGGCTACTACTGCACTGCTAACATTTAAACTCTTCTGTCAAACGCTTTCATACTTACTACCCAGCTCTAAAACACGTGTCATTGCTGTATTTCATCACCCCATATGCTGCACAAGGCTGTAACATGTTAATAATGAAGATATATGTTATTGTCTTTGAAAGCTGGAGTATTCTCTCTCTTATTATTTGTAATTAAATGTTAATATCGTTATCTACATAACAGTATACACGATTTGGGTATGTGTTGCTAATTCTGTATTGACACATGTATAATTATGTATATGTGTGTGTATATGGTTAGAACATTCACCAAACCACTGTGTATTGTAATGTAATGGGTGACGTTGTGTTGTTTTTCTGCATTATTAAGTGGAATGTTTCAGTTGGTCTTTGTGTGTGCGAGATTTCTGTTGTAGTTTACATTTTGGCTGGAAGTTAAGGGAGTTGTGTGGTGTGTGTTTGCCTGGTCTGGTCTTTGTTTGCATGTGTAGGCAAGAAGAGACAGCCCACCACAGTCTTTGCACGTGTCTGTGCGTGTGACTCCACTGAGCCGTTTGAGAATCTGCTGTGATGGCATTTCAAAGTCTCCAGAAACACCACAAGTATCAAACCCTTCCAGCGATGTGAGGTATGATCAGTCACTGTGTTTTAGCACGCGTCCACTTCCTTATTGTCCTTCCCCAGCTGATCTCGGAGGCCAGGCTGGGATCTGCTGGCACGGTTCAGGCTGCTGGCAACACAAAAGGACCAGGCACAATGCATGTGAAAGAGCGTGTCTCTGGTTTAATGAGTTTAAGGGACAGCAATGGGTTAATAATCAATGCAGGTCTCACGAGATCGAGTGTCTCTACGGAAGCGGATCGAGTCAAATCTAGTTTTGTTGTTTACACACTGCTTCCTGCCATATGGGGATGTCAAAGGGCAGTGTTTACTATTTCCAGACAGTTGTTTTTGGATTCGGGATTGTGTACAAAGAGAGATGGGTTGTAAGTTATGGTGAAGACTCTAATTATGATTTGTGTCCGTTTATGTCAACGCCTTTGTTTCGCAATCGATAAGATGTTATAATCATGTTACAGCTGATAGTAATGATAATAAATCTTTCTTTGCGTGGCACTTTTCAAAAATAAGAACGAAACTAAAGATGACAGAGGGAAGGCAACAAGAGAGACCAGAGAGAGAGAGACTACAGAGAAGCAGAGAGAGAGAGAGAGAGACCACAGAGGCAGAGAGAGAGAGAGACCACAGAGAGGCAGAGAGAGAGAGAGGGAGAGAGACAGACAGAGAGAGAGAGAGCAAAAACCAGAGAGCAAATGCAGCATAACAAAGCAGACTGAGGACACACAACAAGTAAGCAAACTCAGAGACGGAGAAACCAGAGAGAGACCGTAGAACAAATAGAAAAATAACGCATACATAATTACATATAGCAGATAGAGCGACATTATGGGAGTTCAATGTAGCCGTTATTCAGCCTGATACCAGACAAATTAAACTGTCAACTGTCTGCTGTTACATGCTAATCCCTGCTGTTGCCATTACCATTGTTTGTATTGTCGCTTTGTTCTAAGATTCTGCGGGGGATGCCAGGTTGGATTTATATTTTCTCTGTGTGTGTGTATTGGAAGCTATATTTGGCTGATTATTATTGAAACTAAATGTGTTATTGTGATGAAACCTCTTGCGGCTCGCATCCTGACTAGAACCAGGAAGTACCATCGCATTAGTCCTGGTCTCAGGTCTCTGCTTCCTGTGGCTCCGAGAATAGACTTTAATGCAGCTCTGTTTTTTTACAAGCCTTTCCATGGTACACAGGAGCAAAGGGACTAGCCTCCTGCTGGGGCCCAATGCCCATAGTGAGGACTAAACTTGGGGAGGCAGCTAAAACAGTCTTCCTGAAAATGTGAGACAGGCCGTGTGTATAACCTGTGCCATACAATTAAACTTGCCTCCTGCCTTTGCGTGCCAGCCTTGTACAGTGACGTCTGTATAATTCATGGAGCAGCTTTTGGGCCACAGTTGGACTTATGTAGAGAACAGAAGCAGTCATGTCTTCATTGTCCTCTCTCCTGTGGACACTGTGGTCTCTGTGTCTCTCTGATTATTGCCTCTTCTGATCTCCTTCATGCATCTCCTCCTCCTCCTCCTTCTCTTCTCGCTCTGTGTTTCGCCTCCTGCTTGTGCCCTACTCCTCGCGGCGCTACATGGGGATGCTCTGGTCTCGGGCTGTAACTCGACATAATGCTGCAGAACAAAGGCTCCTTTCTCCCTCTCTCTGGGTCTCTCCCTCTATATTGGTCTCTACCTCTCTGCCTGGGTCTCTTTCTCTCTGGGTCTTTGCCTCTCCCACTCTCTCTCCCTCTATCTGGATCTCTCCCTCTCTGCCTCTCTCTCTCCGCATCCCTCTTTCTCTCTCCCTCTCTCTGTGGGTCTCTCTCCCTATCTTCCTTTCTTTCCCTCTCCCTCTCTGCCTCTCCCTCACTCTCCTTTCCTCCCTCTCTCTGCCTCTCTCTCTCTCCCTCTCTTTTCCTCTCTCCCTCTCTCTCTCTCCCTCTCTTTCTCTCTCTCTCCCTCCCTCCCTCGCTCTCTCTCCGTCCAGCAGGCAGCCGCTCAGAGCCTGGAGGGTGGAAATATGCTGCTGGTTGTGGCTGTGGCTGTGACACTGGGAGCTCTGTGTTCCTGGTCTTGGCTCCTGGTTCTCTCCAGGAGCAGGCGGCCGAGGCTCAGCTGTCTGCTCCTCCACCGACAGGAGCCAGTGCTTTTATCCAGTGCCACGCTGAGTGATGTCGCATGTGTGTATGAGGAGTGAACACTAACCTCAAATATATGGAGGTACGGCATGAAAATGTGCCTGAATCTCTCATCCTTATGGGTATATAATATGATTTTTTTAATTATTTTATTATTTGTCCTCCCCCATTTAATAAAGACTTAATACACATTTCAAAGCAAAGGAAGGTTCCAGTTGTACAGTCCCTGTATGACTGAGAGCTTACACAAACTTAATGAATATTTCAGTCATAAAAAGGAGTGGACAGAGTGTGACATCACCCCAGTGTTAGCCGTAGTGTGATAGAAACTGATGTGAACATAAGGTGGAGCTAATTTTCTTATATGGACATTTGTTTTGACGGGAACGCAACAGGAGCAGTGTTGTTAACATTAGAGGCTATAAGACAATATCAAAATATTATAATCACCGGGATCTTTCTCTAGTATCTCCCTCTGTGCTCTTTCTTGGGGCTCTCTGGTCTCTCTCTGGTCTCTCTCTGGTCTCTCTCTCTGGTCTCTCTCTCTGGTCTCTCTCTCTGGTCTCTCTCTCTGGTCTCTCTCTCTGGTCTCTCTCTCTGGTCTCTCTCTCTGGTCTCTCTCTCTCTGGTCTCTCTCTCTCTGGTCTCTCTCTCTCTGGTCTCTCTCTCTCTGGTCTCTCTCTCTCTGGTCTCTCTCTCTCTGGTCTCTCTCTCTCTGGTCTCTCTCTCTGGTCTCTCTCTCTGGTCTCTCTCTGGTCCCTCTTCAGCAGTCTTGAGTTCAAGTGGTTTGAAAAGTGTATAAAGTATGTGGGTTTTACAGCATTCTAACATACAGCTGCTACTGAGAAGAGTTCCCTTATTGTGGGTTACTTTTAGAACACATCACCACCGCGATAAACAAGGCACCAGTGTTTATCACCAATTATTACTGGACCCGAGTGGACATTTATTACACTGAAGCGCCAGGGTCTTGTATATATTATAATTATTCCTCTGTCCTTCAATACAGAGCCTTGTCCTTGGTTCTTTTCTCCTGGACAAGACAGTTTACTGACAAAAAGACAATTGTGTGTGTGTCTGTGTGTGTGTGTGAAAGCAATTAAGCTAATATTGCTGCAGTTTTCACAATGCCAGTCAATACACCGCCCTCCACCTTCCCATGAGGTCAAAGCTGCTTAAATGCTTCTGTTCTCAAAGTCAGACATAGGCCTCCAATAAACCTGCATTTCTATTTCGTCCTACGTTTGACTTCTACCCTGCGAACAACATCAGACTGGAGCTGGCTGTTGTTGTTGAGTTTCTGGTTTGCTAAGTTGCTATATATTCAGCTGATGAAAACAGGCTATTTTAAACCGTCTGTCCATTTGGCGCGATGCCGTAGCACAAATGTCCTGCCAAATTTACTCTTGTGTCGCTCTCCTGCCTGCGGTACCAAGCAGGTATACAGGACTGAGACAGTGAGTGCCAGGACTGACTGAGGCTGTGAGGGCCAGGACTGAGGCTGTGAGGGCCAGGACTGAGGCTTTGAGGGGCCAGGACTGAGGCTGTGCGGGCCAGGACTGAGACAGTGAGTGCCAGGACTGAGACTGTGAGGGCCAGGACTGAGGCTGTGAGGGCCAGGAATGAGACTGTGAGGGCCAGGACTGAGGCTGTGAGGGCCAGGACTGAGGCTGTGAGGGCCAGGACTGAGGCTGTGAGGGCCGGGACTGAGGCTGTGAGGTCCGGGACAGAGGCTGGTAAGGGCCAGGACTGATGCTGTGAGTGCCAGGACTGATGCTGTGAGTGCCAGGACTGATGCTGTGAGTGCCAGGACTGATGCTGTGAGTGCCAGGACTGATGCTGTGAGTGCCAGGACTGATGCTGTGAGTGCCAGGACTGAGGCTGTGAGTGCCAGGACTGAGGCTGTGAGTGCCAGGACTGAGGCTGTGAGGCCAGGACTGAGGCTGTGTGTGGCCAGGACTGAGCTGTGAGTGCCAGGACTGATGCTGTGCGTGAGTGCCAGGACTGATGCTGTGAGTGCCAGGACTGATGCTGTGAGTGCCAGGACTGATGCTGTGAGTGCCAGGACTGATGCTGTGAGTGCCAGGACTGATGCTGTGAGTGCCAGGACTGATGCTGTGAGTGCCAGGACTGATGCTGTGAGTGCCAGGACTGATGCTGTGAGTGCCAGGACTGATGCTGTGAGTGCCAGGACTGATGCTGTGAGTGCCAGGACTGAGGCTGTGAGTGCCAGGACTGAGGCTGTGAGTGCCAGGACTGAGGCTGTGAGTGCCAGGACTGAGACAGTGAGTGCCAGGACTGAGGCTGTGAGGGCCAGGACTGAGGCTGTGAGTGCCAGGACTGAGGCTGTGAGGGCCAGGACTGAGGCTGTGAGTGCCAGGACTGAGGCTGTGAGGGCCGGGACTGAGGCGTGGTGTGCTGTGAGTGCCAGGACTGAGGCTGTGAGTGCAGGATGAGGACTGGAGGCTGTGAGTGCCAGGACTGAGGCTGTGAGTGCCGGGACTGAGGCTGTGAGGGCCGGGGAGAGGACTGAGCTGTGAGGGCCGGGACTGAGGCTGTGAGGGCCAGGACTGAGGCTGTGAGTGAGTGCCAGGACTGAGGCTGTGAGTGCCAGGACTGAGGCTGTGAGTGGCAGGACTGAGGCTGTGAGTGCCAGGACTGAGGCTGTGAGTGCCAGGACTGACTGAGGCTGTGAGGGCCAGGACTGACTGAGGCTGTGAGGGCCAGGACTGAGGCTGTGAGGGCCAGGACTGAGGCTGTGAGTGCCAGGACTGAGGCTGTGAGGGCCAGGACTGAGGCTGTGAGTGCCAGGACTGAGGCTGTGAGTGCCAGGACTGAGGCTGTGAGTGCCAGGACTGAGGCTGTGAGTGCCAGGACTGAGGCTGTGAGTGCCAGGACTGAGGCTGTGAGTGCCAGGACTGAGGCTGTGAGTGCCAGGACTGAGGCTGTGAGGGCCAGGACTGAGGCTGTGAGTGCCAGGACTGAGGCTGTGAGGCCAGGACTGAGGCTGTGAGGGCCAGGACTGAGACAGTGAGTGCCAGGACTGACTGAGGCTGTGAGGGCCAGGACTGAGGCTGTGAGTGCCAGGACTGAGGCTGTGAGTGCCAGGACTGAGGCTGTGAGTGCCAGGACTGAGGCTGTGAGTGCCACTAGGCTGTGAGTGCCAGGACTGAGGCTGTGAGTGCCAGGACTGAGGCTGTGAGGGCCAGGACTGAGACTGTGAGTGCCAGTACTGAGGCTGTGAGGGGCCAGGACTGAGGCTGTGAGGGGCCGGGACTGAGGCTGTGAGGGGCCGGGACTGAGGCTGTGAGGGGCCGGGACTGAGGCTGTGAGGGGCCGGGACTGTAGTAGAGAAAGTGGGAACAATAGCAAACATTTCCTCACCCAGAGGTCGTTCTTTCGGATACTTTGGTCGCACAAACTTGGTTACAGCTCATGACCGGTGGCAAACACATCTGAAATCACATTCTCGTCTCCTAAGTGCCGCTGCCGTGCCATTAGCGTAGCCATTAGCTCAGCAGCCCTGTCTGTCTGTATAATGGGAACCACACGGCTCTCTCTGGAGGATCTGAGGCTGTCCACTCTCTCCGCTCTCTCTGCACCTGCATTTTCTCATTTAAGCAGAAATCACCAACTCATCTCCACAAACAGCCACCGGCAAACACCATAAACTATAGGTGTTGGCCAATAGAGAGAGGAGTGAGAGAAGAGCATCTATTCTCCTGTCTCTGTCTATATTCAGAAACACATTGATTATAATGAAGGCCTCTATGGCACCACACTGGCAACAGCTGTCTGATGCCTAAAATAGCATTTATAAGTGTTATTTTGCAATTTCAATTCAATTTATTTGTGTATAGCCCTAAATCACAACAGCAGTCGTCTCCAGGACTGAGGCTGTAGCTCCAGGACTGAGGCTGTAGATCCAGGACTGAGGCTGTAGATCCAGGACTGAGGCTGTAGATCCAGGACTGAGGCTGTAGATCCAGGACTGAGGCTGTAGATCCAGGACTGAGGCTGTAGATCCAGGACTGAGGCTGTAGATCCAGGACTGAGGCTGTAGATCCAGGACTGAGGCTGTAGCTCCATGACTGAGGCTGTAGCTCCATGACTGAGGCTGTATATCCAGGACTGAGGCTGTAGCTCCATGACTGAGGCTGTAGCTCCATGACTGAGGCTGTATATCCAGGACTGAGGCTGTAGCTCCATGACTGAGGCTGTAGCTCCATGACTGAGGCTGTATTTAATGTATACTGGGGCCTCTAACCCTACTCTAATGTAAACAGGCCACCTTTGTTCTGGTTGACATTGGAACACAGCATTAGCTTACCTAATGGACTGATGCTAACGACCAGAACAGAGTGGAATTAGAGCATTGAAGCATTTGCTGCATGTTATAACTGCAAGGTCCATCTCCTTCAAAACTGCTCCGTGGCCGATCTACGGTGTGTGCGCTAAGTGCTCTGCTCGTTCGTGAGTGGAGAGCTCCTACTTTCAAATCAATGGCTGAAGGACGGTTGGTTACAGACCGTTTTGAGAGTTTAGTATTGGACTTCTGTAGCCACGTGTATCTGTTCGCAGCTGTGTCCTCCTCTGCCTCTGTCTCTTTATTCCGTACTGTATTTGTTCTGTTTGTGATGCTGCTTGTGATTACGTAATGTTAGCTGACTGCTGCTGGTAATCCCCCCTCTCTCTCTCTCTCTAACCACTCTTCCTCTGCTCTCTGTCTCCCTCTCTAACCCCTCCTCTGCTGTTTCTCTCTTTTTCTAACCCTTCTTCCTCTGCTCTCTCTTTAACCCCACCTTCTCTGATCTCTCTCTAACCCCTCCTCCTCTGTCTCTCTCTCTCTTGCTCTCTAACACCTCCTCTGCCCTCTCTCTCTCTCTCTCTGACCCCCTCCTCCCTCTCTCTCTCTCTGCTCTCTCTAACACCTCCTCTGCCCTCCCTCTCTCTCTCTCTCTGACCCTCCTCTGCCCTCTCTCTCTCTCTGCTCTCTCTAACACCTCCTCTGCCCTCTCTCTCTCTGACCCCTCCTCTGCCCTCTCTCTCTCTGCTCTCTCTAACACCTCCTCTGCCCTCTCTCTCTCTCTCTGACCCCTCCTCTGCCCTCTCTCTCTCTCTGCTCTCTAACCCCTCCTCTGCCCTCTCTCTCTCTGCTCTTTCTAACACCTCCTCTGCTCTTTCTAACCCCTTCTCTGGCCTCTCTCTCTGCTCTCTCTAACCCCTCCTCTGCCCTCTCTCTCTGCTCTCTCTCTAACCCCTCCTCCGCTCTTTCTAACACCTTCTCTGGCATCTCTTTCTCTCTCTAACCCTTCCTCCTCTGCTCTCCCTCAGGTTGAAGCCGTAGAGGAGTCGGCCTCTCTCTCTCTAACCCCTTCCTCCTCTGCTCTCCCCCAGATTGAAGCCATAGAGGAGTCGGCCTCTCTCTCTAACCCCTTCTCCTCTGCTCTCCCACCGGTTGAAGCCGTAGAGGAGTCGGCCTCTCTCTCTAACCCCTTCTCCTCTGCTCTCCCACAGGTTGAAGCCGTAGAGGAGTAGCTGACGGTCTCTGGAGGTCAAAGATGTGCGATGGGACCATGTGTGCCCTGTCCTGCGAGCTGACCGCCCTGCTGCTGCTCTGCGCCCTGCTCCCCCACGGCCAGGCATCAGGTACTACTCAGAGAAACGCTGTCTGTGTCTTGTGTCTGGGAAGTGTCCTGGTTTGGAGCTGATGATGAGGATAAAGGATGGATGCCACTACTTTACTTTACTTACTTATTTACTATGGATGGTATGGCTTTTGCAAGTAGCTGTTCTCTGTGAAAACGTTTAGGGTTTAAATTTGTAGTGGCGGAGTGGTTAGGACTATTGGTTCGCAACATGAAGGTCTTGGGTTTGAATCCCATTTGGAAAACTGTTTTTGACTTTTTTTAATCTTTCTTTCTCATGCTGTGATGACGTTTCTAGCCATATTGCCCAGCCCTATTGGTTGATTAGTTTTTATTTAATATATATGTACATCTCATATATACATACGTCTTGCTTGAATGATTATTTCCAAGTCCATACCCAGAGCCACAATAGAGATAGATACATAGAGAGATAGATGGATGCATGGATAGACGCCACAGACAGATACTTTTGTGGTAAATTCTATGTAATGTTGTGGTTGATTAGGGTTTACAAATGAACATTACACTTGTCCTGTTGTATTAATAACCTGACCACACACAGACCACTCCCAGGACCCTTGATCTAGTCCTTGGGTGGTCCCTCAATCTCCATCCCAGATCCCTTTGATGCAACGGTCCATGCTTTTACCCTGGGGTCCCTCTGGTTTCTCTGGGTCTTTGAGGAACACTTATATTCCCCCCTTCTTCCACTGACCACCTCACTCTAACGACTCTCTCCTTCCCTCCTCGATTTTCGCTATCGAGTGCTGAGGGGGCGGCTGTTTGCGGTCACGCTGGTGTCATAAGGTTTTAATCAGAGCTGACATTTGCAGTCCTGGAGGGCCTTTAACGCAGCTTTGCCCATTACCTCTCACCGGGACAGGATCAGGGCTAGTGTTTCTGCCCAGATCCAGGCCTATTATCTGTGAAACGGCAAATTGATTCGATTGTGCAGATTAGTGGCCGAGCATCAGGGAATCCAAGTCATTCTAGGATACGTGTCCGGTTTTGTATTGAGGCATGTAAGTCAGGATTTTATTCTTGTTGCCGATAAAGAAGGCATATATCGATGTCTGTGTTTGTTCCATAGACCGGTCCCTCTCTAACGTGGTTCACCTTAAGCTGCCTCGATGTTACACTGTAAAAAAACTCACATAAAAACTTCCCATGTATAAACAACATCATGTAACCGCTAGTGTAATATGACAGTTACCTTAAAGTCAGAGGAAAACTTGTGGCTCCCTCGAGGGTCTCTCTCTCTGGTCTCACTCTGATCTCTCTCAGAAGTGGTAGGTTCAGGTGGTTAGAAAAGTATATAAAGTGAGAGGGTTTAAACATACCGCAGCCACTGAAAGGATTTTCCTTTTATTGTGGGTGAATCTTGGAACGTATCACTCCTGTGATATTGTTGTCATGTTTTTGGAGTATACACAAGGAACTACTGTATATCAAACCCACACATATCTAGTGAAAATGACTTTATTCAGAATAGCGTGTGATTTCCAAGCTTCTGTGCTGAAGGCTTTGGGTGCGACCGGGTGAATCGTACAGCCTGACACCAACATCCACAAAAATCATAAGGATGCACTCGTATCTCGTGCTCTCTCTCCTCGTCCCCTCCCTCCGGCCCTGGCCAGTCATAGATACAACAGCAGCATGTGAAATGTGCCAGATGTCCTGCCCTTAGCTCGCCGTGTTTGTATTCTCTTTAATGCCTTAAATACATATACAGCGATCAGGACTGCAGCTCTGGGAAGGCAGGAGGAGCTCGATAAGCTCTGCGCATTTCACTGTATTACCATCTCTTATGTAACATGCGTGATTCAGTCCAGAGGCCGAATCTCACTCACGTTCCATCCAACTGCCTGCCCTCAAATCCCTTGCCCACGTGAGGAGAGGAGAGAGAGGCAGAGAGAGAGAGGAGAGGCAGAGAGAGGAGAGGCAGAGAGAGAGGAGAGGCAGAGAGAGAGGAGAGGCAGAGAGAGAGGAGAGGCAGAGAGAGAGAGGAGAGGCAGAGAGAGAGGAGAGGCAGAGAGAGAGGAGAGGCAGAGAGAGAGGAGAGGCAGAGAGAGAGAGGAGAGGCAGAGAGAGAGGAGAGGCAGAGAGAGAGGAGAGGCAGAGAGAGAGGAGAGGCAGAGAGAGAGAGAGAGGAGAGGCAAGAGAGAGAGGAGAGAGAGAGGAGAGGCAGAGAGAGAGAGAGGCAGGCCCAATCCCAATACCCACACTGCATCCTACACACCTCTACGAAGTGTGCATTTGTTCGAAGTGCACACCAGGGTTGGGTTGGTTACAAGTGTGCAAAAAAGGCGGAATTGGAACAGTGCACACTGAGTGCAGGTGACGTCATCGACTCGTCCAGAGATGGTCATTTTCAGACCTAAACTTTATAAACATTAAAGGTAATTTTGTCTGACCCTTTGGGAAACAAAATGAATTGCTTCACACACGTTAAAATACATGTATATTAGTTGTTTTTAATTAGAGATGGCTGTATAATTTTAAGTTAAATGTGGGTAACTAACTATCTGGTCAATTTTTATACATTCTAAGATTATTGTACTAAGTGTAAAGTTTAAATTGAATGTTATATAAACGCTTGCTTTAAAAAGTTATTAAATTGTTAAAACACAATGTCCGTAATTCTTCATCAGACGTTTATGCTTCTTTCCAAGTAGCATTGCAAAACTTATTTACACACATACTGCATATATATTTCAAAATTAAATTTTTTAAATGCATTTTCCCGACGTTTTGGTGTGTACCCCAAAGAATTATGGGCAATATCCTTCGCCAGAGTGCGCATAGATGCAGGCTACGGCGAAGTGTGGATCAAGGACGCAAAGGGGGCGGGGCCAAATACCTCCCTGGAGAATTGGGACACCCTACGCACTCGCACCCTTTATCGGGAACGCGCAAATGAGGGGCGCGAGGGTGGAAGTGCGAGTATTGGGACGGGGCCGCAGAGAGAGAGAGAGAGGCCAGATAGAGGCCAGAGGCGGTATCTCTGACGCTTTTTCTGTAGTGATTTGTGAATGTCAAGCTTAGATTGGAGGACAATGCAAGTCAAGTGTTAGTGTTATGGACCAACTCCGACTCTTGAGGAGCACAGGGACTGGCCTCCAGCTGGGACTCTCACAATAATTACCATCAAAGTATTTTACAAAGTTAGTTATTTTGTGCCATAAGCAAGAAGGTCCTGGTTTGAATCCCAGTCGATACAGGGCCTTTCTGTGTGGAGTTTTTGGGTTTCCTCCGGGTGCTTCAGTTTCCCATACCATTAAATACATGTACAACTGCTCCCCTCTCTGAAAAGGAAATTCTTAAATCCCAGTGGTACTCTCATGGTTAAATAATTATATCAGTCAAATCAATTTACAAAGAACATTACACAAAGCCGCTGATGAGAAGTCTGCATTCTGTACCTTTTGAGCTGTGTTTGGTCAGATTGTCTCGCCAACATGTGTTGCAGAGATGAGATGGCCTTGGCCTTGGCCACCGCCGCAGCCTGCTTTATTTTAGACACGAGCAAAGATTTACAGAATAGTTCCACATCAATTCAGGTTATGATGTAGCTATTGTGGCCTGGTTTGTTGGCACAGCTGTTTAGGGCTATTTCCTGGAGAGACCCAGGACTGAGGCTGTAGATCCAGGACTGAGGCTGTAGATCCAGGACTGAGGCTGTAGATCCAGGACTGAGGCTGTAGATCCAGGACTGAGGCAGTAGATCCAGGACTGAGGCTGTAGATCCAAGACTGAGGCTGTAGATCCAGGACTGAGGCTGTAGATCCAGGACTGAGGCTGTAGATCCAGGACTGAGGCTGTAGATCCAGGACTGAGGCAGTAGATCCAGGACTGAGGCAGTAGATCCAGGACTGAGGCTGTAGATCCAGGACTGAGGCTGTAGATCCAGGACTGAGGCTGTAGATCCAGGACTGAGGCTGTAGATCCAGGACTGAGGCTGTAGATCCAGGACTGAGGCTGTAGATCCAGGACTGAGGCTGTAGATCCAGGACTGAGGCTGTAGATCTAGGACTGAGGCTGTAGATCCAAGACTGAGGCGAGGAGGGGGGCGACCCGTTCATATCCGAGCACAGACTGTACTTACCGCCAACACTTGAGGCTCCTTATTAAACAATGAAAGGAAAAGGTTGAGATGTCCCTGTTGGCCATCTGTCAGCGCGCGAGAGGCAGAAATGTTTTGTACCTGCTTTTAAAAACTATTTTTAGATTCTGCTTTTATGTCATCTCAACGTTCACTTTAAACAAGGCCCAGTTCATACAAAAGAAACACAAAACAAATCACAGTGCATAGGGCACTGTCCGGTTTCCGAAATGTGCCAAAAATAGTTCCAATGACTGCGCATGCGCGCATGTTTCGGACAAACTCTGTCCGACTCCGTTGAGTACTACTGTGTTCTCCACATAAGCGTGTGTATTTATTTGGGCTAAATCATTGAATCATGGTGACAACAAAACACTGCAGTTATGGTGCTTGTGGGAGCGATTTCAGATACTCTGAAAAGGACTATATGAAAGCAGTAACATTCAACCTGTTCGTTAAACCACACCATCGAACCAGACCAGGACCAGACCAGGACCAGACCAGGACAAGTGCAAGAGGTGGGTGCTTGTGGTCAGCAGAATTTCTCTCATGAAAATGTTAAAAAGGACATGTTTTTTCAAAACACTTCGCTGGACCAACTGTGGAGCCTCCAGATCCAGTCCTAGCTACGTTTAGCTGGGACTGGACCTGGACCGCTGTATCAGGTCCGTCTGAGCTCTTCTGAATGTAGTTAGCCCCATCAATCCATATTAGTATTGTTTGTCCTAATCCAGAATGTATACAATTCTCACACCTAAAGAAAGATGAGAGGGAATTTTTCAACTTCGTGACTATCGGAAAATAAGCACAGACGAAGCGCGTTGGGGTCCGCTTATTATACGGCTTTGTACCAACTGAACACACAAAATAAACTTCTGTCACTATTCATGCCAAAA